ACTGAAGCCAATCACTTGTGGTTATAGAAATGTTACTATGACAATTGGGACCATTGCTGCAGAATACTCTGTAGTGCCTTTTTTTGGGTTTAAATAAAGGGTTTATTTCCTGGTGTAAAGGATGATCTGACAGTTTATGAAGAGCACTGTAGTACAGGGAATATCTGAACCATTGTTAAAGCTCTTGGAAGGGTTTCTGGTTGACAGTGATTTGCACAAGAAGCATGTGGTCCATCACAAACTCTCAGGCTACCACTTTGCCACTGATCTGGATACTGCTGAGAGTCCCAGGGTTGTCTTCTTTCTTTGTGCTGTCTCACTGTTGGTGCAAAATTTGGCAATGCCCCACTTCAGCTCTTGCTGGGATGTGCTACAGTCATGCTGTTCTTCTTGACCTCCAGATGTTTTGTAATGCAGCAAAGGGCCCTTATGGTTTTCTCTCTTAATTTATGACACTTTTTTTTTTTATTATTATAATGATCGTCATCAATATTTTATCTCGGTTTCTAATTATTATTTCAGCGACATCTGCCTGAGCCCATGTTGTTTTCAAGCCTAGATTCGTCCTGTGTGTTACTGGAATTGTTTTCAAGAAGCCTCAGTGGTGTTTTTAGACTTGAGACAAAGGGTAAATGATGGAGAGAACAGTGGGGACAATGGAGTGAGATATAGTGAGAGTCACTGGACATGGGAGTGAACTGAAGGATGAACCTGGAATAAAGCAAAATCTGTGAGTGGAGAAGTGAGATTAAAATAAAACATTGCCTTGAAATGCACAAAGCAAAAAAAGATAAATAGGATGCACAAAAAGGCTGGAAAATTCATGTAAAAGGGGGAAATATTTATGCTTGCTACCCAAGAACGGTGTGAAATACAATGCCAGAAATTTCAGGCTGAGGAAGTAAAAAAAAAAAAAATTTCTACAAAGATTTGTTGGAGGACCTCATCAAAGGAATTAAACATGTGTGGGTTCAAGCACCTGCCTAATCCAGTAATTCCTCAGGAGAGATGTTTCACTGCACATATTTTTGTGGCCTGATGTGAAGCCCCCTGAAGGCTGTGGGGCAGTGTCCACTGCACACAGGGGGCTTTGGGGCCCCTCTGAGCACCTGCTGGAGAAGGCAGATGACAAATAATGCATGGAGAACATTCCTGCCATGGGTAAGAAGATGGCTTAGCTGATTTAATAGCTTTTTCTCAGTCTGTGATTCCAACAGCCAGGTTTGTGATATTTATTTTAGTATTCATGTTCTTGCAGTCCTTTTTACATTCCTCTGTTTTTCCCTGGCAGACATCCCGCAGCTCCATAAGTCTGGGGGAAGAGGATGGTTAGCATGTTGTTGCTGTGGGGATTTGAGTCTTAGCTCTCTGTGTTGGTAATGCTGGGCATATAATTTTAAAACTTGCACGCTGTAGAAGCAGATAATTATTTCCCTGCTGCATTTTATACCCTGGTTTGGGAAAGGAATACATTTCAGAATATTAAAAAGAAAGGAAAAGTTCTGG